ACGGAGACATTTTCAATGCTATCAACCTATTTTTAGATATGAAATTAAGTCGGTTGCTTCAACATGATTAAAATTACGAAACTAAAACCAACACGAAAACCTTCTTTGCTTAATCGAATTGTTGTTCAAGTAAATAAAAAGAATGAAACGGATTGTCTTCTTGAAAATTGGTAGTTGTAATGTAACATGCCTTGACGTTGGCACAACGGACGATGAGAGGGATAAATTTACTTTATAGCCTGAATGAAATTGCATGACCTCCGGGAATTTTGGCTGATTAACAACGTTCGCGTGTGGAAGGTTTCAATTTTATACTCGTTTATCTTAAGAAAAATTATATACAGTAAATCTCTTGTATCCGCGAGGACTAGTCATAAGTGTAGTATTAGTTCTAATGCTTAGTTAGCTCTTGTTTTAGTTGTTATTCGCGTTAGATTGTTGTATATTTTTATTGAACTACATAAAACAATAAGAATGGCCTAAAAAAAATAAAAATAAAATTTATAGACATTCATTTAACGATGTTTTTATCAAATCTAACTTGGGATATTTTAATAATAACTTATAAACTCATAAAATATACTTCCATTTAGATATTTATACGTGCTTTCAGTTTTAACCTTTCTGTTCGGCTATTAAATCAACAATAATCAAGATAACGACTAACTATTAACATTTAAAGTCATTCAGGTTATATATACAAGCATGTAAATATTATTCATTTATATATTAACCATTGTTTTATGACTAAAATTTAGAACATTAATTAAAGAAATTGTTTAAATTCATTCTAATATGTTGATTCATGGAATGTTTAGTTTATTTCATAAATCAATATCGAGAAATTATATGGTAAGTATTTTACACCCTTAGAATAGATGATGATATGAGTCAGAGTTCTTTGTCTTATTATTTTTGCTCTATATTTATCCTTGGTAAACCGCCTCGCAGGTCACGTTTTGTTTTAGTTTGGTACATAACCTGAGTCATACGCTCTCATAGCTGGAATATTAAATTAATATTTTAAAATTGATTTATACTAATACACTGTCGTGCGGGGTTGATTCATGGTTTCTCCACAAAGAAAAATGAAACGAAAACTTAGGCGCCACAATTAAATCAGTCGGACGTTAATCATTTTCGTGACACCGCCGATGTAGGCGTTTTAACTTTTAATGATTTAGTACAAGAAACGAGGTGTTAAAATAATTTATTACGAACATTTTTGGATTTCTTATTAAATTTTATATACAGGAGATTTTAAATTACAAGTTTTAATCAATTTCTAAATTTCAAAACTAATTCTGGGACTCCTGTATATAATATGCTATACAAAGTGTAGGATGATTTTATTAGTTCTTTTCATTACGAAACTTTATCTGTCACGAGGTTTAAACAAGAACCCATTTGTTCAACAGCCTCACTTCAATAAAGTTATTGCGATATTTTCATTAACGTTCCGGTGAAAGATCGTAACTTACCAATAGAAACAGCTCAACTGATTCTCATAAATATTAATTGAAATAGTTTGTTTCAAATGTGATTCAGTAATCCATAGTTTATAATCCGTTTCATCTTTAGAAATGGGATTTTAAATGAATTTTATTATTTAGTCCTTGGGTTTAAATTAAATTGAACATAACGGAAATAAAAGGATAATGAAAGATTAATCTTTTTTACACTTGTATTTATTTTTTTAAATTATTATATTGTAGTAGCTTAAAAATAAATAACCTCATATTGATTACAGATTCAATTGATTTTATTATTACACAAAAACGAATTTTTTGTATGAGGTTTGTGATATTTAACGAATAATAAATTTTAAAAGACATAGATTTTTTTTGTAAAATTCAAATAACTTAATAAATAAGGCAATCTACATCCCTGTTTTTTTTTTACAATATTTCTGTTTAAAATAATTTTAATTTATTGACTTTATATTATATCTTATTCCATATCAATTTTTCATTATCTATATTCAATTCGTAAAAAATTATAAAATTTTAAATTAATATAACCAGAAGCTTACCCAGAAGGAGATTTTACACAATCCCAGTAATTTCAGTAAATTCCCAGTAAGCAATCCCAATAACTACCAAAAGCTCAGTAATTTTGCCTAATAACATTGAGGGAGAGTGGCGAAGTGCAAATGTCTAAAGAATCTAAAGAACCAAGTATCTGATTTGACAATAAAATAATTTTAATTGTATACGGCCCAAACACAGACAAAACATATATGATCAAAAAGACATTCTGGGAAGAACGAGTTGAGGAAGTAAAACATGCAATAGGAAGAACCTCGTAATAGAAAATAAAAGTCTTTGATAGCAGAATGGTAAATATAAAACGATTATTGGAAAACATGAAGAAAATACCAGGAAAATTAATGGACAAAAAATATGATTGATTTCTGCATTATGAACGACCTAATGATAATAATTAATTATTTCCCACAAAGTAATGCATAAAATTACAAGGAAAGTACGAAGAAGAAACGATCAATTATCATCAATCTGGAACAACTCCGGAAGCGAAATTTGAACCTTGATAGATCAACAGCAAGAAAAGTAAGATACACGTAACAAAAATGCGCTATTTGGGAAGTGTGAGAGGAATAATTAAGAGGGATAACATGAGCAATATTCATATCAGAGGAACTCAATATACAACATTCAAATTTATTGTCGAGAGACAGTTATCTTGGTTTGGACACAACCGCGTTGCCAACCCCACTGATTTATCGGTAGATCAAAAAAAAGGTAAACAAATTTGTAGTTAATAATTATTTTACAAAAGTAAGAAACATATTAATGGAGAAAGATGTTATGGCAAAATCTGAAAGAATCTATAATATTGATGAGAAAGGGTGCCGGCTCACAGTTCATCATCAGCAAGCTGAGCATGCAGAAAATGTAGAAATTGTTACATGCGGCAATGGTATTGTACTGAATTCCACTTATAGCTACCTACAAAACCCAGCGTTTGAAGCCAGAATGCTCCCGAAATAAGATAGCCGAAGAAGAGCGTCATCTCACCTGCTGATAGATATCACGTTATTGCCTTCCAAAGAATGAGCAACCCATTAGTTGCGATACATAGATAAAGCAGTCTTGAAAACTTTTGTGAAGAAAAAATTACATAAAGAGTGGTTTCCGGGCTACTGAGATGTATCCGTTCGACTCTCATGTTATTTCTGATGAGGCTTCTGCTCCTTTAACTGTACCCCACATAACAGATGAGAGTCTTCAGTATGTGCTATTCCAAGAGAAGAAGACTCATCTTCTGATTTCAATGAATCTGAACATTATCCATCCGTTTCGTCCTTGGAAAAAGTAGTACCATTAGAGACACACAATTTTCATACGCAAGAGACCAGAATCAACTGACAGTAGTTTCCTCCAGAATGGTAGACCAACGTTTGATCACACCAAAAAGAAAATGTTAAAACTACCGATTTTTTCTGGTACATACCAATTTTTACAATGGATTCTACCGACTTTTAGGCGATATAGGTTGGCAACATTGAACATAGGTAAAACGAATATGGAAAGCCAGAATACTGAAAGAAAGGAAGATCAATAAATATTGGCACACAATAGATCGATAGAATTTGTAAATAAAACCCTATCATTCTGCGGGAATAATGGTTCAGCCGACGCTTACCAGTTCTAAATTGTATTTATTTTGGAAAACAAACAATAGGATCATCGCAATCTAGAAGCGCAAAAGATTCCTTTGCAAGCAACGTGGATGTGAACAAGCCATCGAGGTTTAATTTCCTCAAATAACTCGATTTAGCCGACAGTTCTAAAATTTATTGCAAACGTCATGGGTCCCAAGACTAGCACAACCTAGCACTATCTTGAAGTAATGAATTCAACGGCGAAGTAATAAGCAATCGTGAGAGAAGCAAATAACTGCTTAATACGGGTACTATTGAGGCAAGCAGATTCGAATATTCTTAGCCAGATGTGATAGTATTCAAGATGAACCACTTAAGAAGTAAAGGTACTGACAATTCTATGTCGTTTAGAATAAAGAATGCTCCAGCAACATTTCAAAGACTGCTGCCACTGCCTTCTAAATGTTTTATCTGGATTCTTGTGGAAGTTCGTTATCTTGAAGATAAATATAACTTATCTTGAAGATATCGTTATCATTAGTGCGAATTGAGAAAATTATCTATTGTGTCGGCGACAGTATAAGAAAGATTGCAACTGAACAAAATATTCAGTTATAGAAACTAAATCTGGAAAATTATACTGATCGTGTTTTTGCCAAATTCTACTAACATTATTCTACTCCAAGGCGAATTAAGTAATATAGGAAAACAAATTACAAAGTTAGGAGTACTTAAAGCTATTTTGTTTCCCATTCGCCGAATTTTAAACGAACATAAATCAATTCCATAACATCTTTCAAGATATGAATTCCTAGTAATCAAAGCTGAAAAGATTCCGTGTTCTTCAATTTCAAGTCTTGTAATTAAGGCCTATTGTCATTCAGATACAAAAAAAAAGCAACGTGTTGAAACTGTAATAAGAAGTCACCGAACCTACAAACTATGCCAATAAAATCTACATATTTTCGATATATTTATTGATTATTTTTCTGCAACAACGATATATTTATAAATTGTAAGTTAGGCAACACACGTTGCTAAAAAGCGTCTGTCCCGGTGGATTTATAACTTTTGACAGAAAACGGTAATAACTTATCCAATAAAAAATAATGAATTGCTTCATTGAATTTGTATTCACCACTCCTAAAAAATGCAAATCCTTCTTTAGTTTATTTCCTGGGTATGCCACTGGATATAATAATGCAAATAAAAAAAAATTTAATCGTAAAAAATCACAGAATAATTGTAGGGAATTTATGGTAACAACCTTGTTTATACAGAACGATTATAAAAGAGAAAAAAAGAAAAATAATAATATAGCTTGATATATTTACACTTACAAAAAAAGTTTCACAACCTTAACAAAAAGGAATTTAGTTTTAAAAATTTTGTTGAAAGAAAGTTTTTTTGACTTAGAGTAGCACAAAAAATGAAAATATAAAATAAACGACTACTCGCTACATGTTTTCTTAGAAAAATAATATACAACTTTTCTCTTAACTATTTTTTTCTCAGTCGACGGAAATGGAAGATTCTTGAGAAACTACTGCTACGGATCTAAAGATGTAAAACTTAAAGTAATTAAACTAAAAAAAAAATAAATATATCACAAAGCCAAGACTTTACGGTTCAAATATCAGTTTCAGTGTGTGAATTACTACTACTTTTTTCATGGTCTTGATAGCTTAAGTATTTTTGTTTTCCCAATTCTACGGTTTTTAGAAATTCGCTCTCGCCAAATAAAAACCTTTTAACATTATTTTCCATTTCGACATATTTTTCCTTATTGATATCGTTATTATCCGTTGTTTTTAACGAGTCTGACCTAGATATATCAGAATAGTCGGTATTGTTATTTTCAATCCACTCTGCAACCCTGCGATTTTGAAAAGACGTATCGCTGACGGTCGAATTTAAATTCTCACCGCTGGATATAGAGTTTTGTTCAATTTTTTCACTTTTTATTTTCTTCTCATGATGTCTCGTGTATAAAACCGGAGCGATATTATTATGAGTATTATCCAATAAAATATTCTTAGATCCCGTTTGAAGTCTCATCGAGCAATATCTTGGTCCTTTTAAATTTTCTGAATTCGGAAAACTATACTGATCGGAAACGCTCGCTTTATTTGATTCCATTTCGTAAGCTTGAGACGCCATATCACACAATTGGTGATGTATTGTCCTCCTAACGTCTTTTTCTTTACTTCTACTCATTTTATTGGTTTCGTTAAGATTATAATGTACAATAGTTTCATTTTTTGGTGTACTATTAAAATCTATTAAATCATTATCGTTCGTTATTTTATTAAATAAACCGTTATTTACATTAACTACTTCTTCTACATCTTTAGTTATCTTTAATACATCATTTGCACATTTACTATCAGCTAAAAAATTATTCGGTTGTACTTTTGCTATATTTTGGTTCGTATTATCGTGCACGTAAATTGGTACATTTTTATTTTTTATAGATTCAACATTTTTAACCACTTTTAGAGCCGTTTGGTTTGCGTTTAAAGAAACGTTACATTGCAAACACGTCGATTCTTTGTAATCCCCGGTTTGTGTGCTTACCGTGTGATGCGTTACGTGATGCACTATTTTATAACTTTTTGAACAGGTACATGTATCGCAGTGTTTTACATTAGCCCGTTCCCTTTCGCGTTCCTGAAGAACTTTCGCCATTATCGCCGCTGAAACTATATCCACAGGCGGATTTTCTACCTCTTTTTCTAGTAATTTCTTTGAGGGGTTAGGAGACTTTGGAATCGAATAAACCATGGCTGTGGGAGGAAATGTTGGTATTGGGACTTTTATACTCTTTATTTCAGGCGGTGTTTTCTTTTCCTCCGGTTTTCGTTTTCCTTGAAGGTATGATGATACTTTCGCTTGAACTTCATTTGGTAACTGAAAATAAACAATTAATATTTAATGATGATTCATTGTTTATTTCAATAACAACTTATGTACGTATTTTGCAATTTGTTTATTGGACTTTTTTTGTTATAAATAGAATAATCCTAATATTTACCTTCTATATTTTTTATCAAGATAACGTCACATTTACGTATGTCAAAAGTACACGTACAGCAAGCGATATTAAAAATACTCAGTTTTAAACTATATAATAGAATTTTCTACCTATGTACTAATGACAAGTTGTTAGCATTAATCAAAACAGTTGCCATTACATTTCTAAATTTTTTTATTATTACAAAGTTGTATTTAAACCTTAATCTTAATACCATACAATGATAAATACCTGCCAATAAGTTAATGACGATTTTAATCAATTCTTATTGTTAATAATCATAAAGATTGAAATCCAATAAATTTTCATGGTAAAAACTTACAGAACCCACTTTGAGTGTAACAATACCCACTCTAGTTGTTTACTTAATATTAAGCAAGCCTACATAACGAAGTAAGAACAGTTTCGAGCTCTGGAATCATAATCTCTTAAACAGCATGCTCCTAGAGGTTATGATTCCAGAGCTAGGATAATAATAATAACTGAGGCTTTAATAATTTGAGTTTAAAGTCATATTACGAGTTTTTCATATATTCAAGGACTTATTTTATTATTTCGTTATCAAGTAATTATATTGAAGGATAGTTAAATTGTTAAGGAATAAACATTTTGTTGGTTTTGTGTCTCCTAATGGCTTGCAAGATAATAAGATGAAACAAGTTTACAAATAAATAATACTATTTCATTTCAATTTTTCATAATTAATTAATACTGAGGATCTGTTTACATTGACCAATAACTAATACTATTATTCAACATCAGCTATCCATCTGGAATTCGTCACTGATCATACACCTTCAAAATTCCTCGCCACTTACTAAGGGGTCTCGGTATCTCTGTATTAAATTCTATATTGTGACTCATATACGTATTTTTGTAATTCATTTGAAATTATTTAATGAATTAAAAAGAAACAATTTAGATATATAATTTAAAAATCTAGGACACAGCAGATAAGTCTTCTGAGATTAAATAATACGCTATCAAATTGCGACTTTATTTCCTTACACTCCAATTTCACTTATGATTTAAATTTTTTTTTTTCTATTTTATAACAATTATAATTTGACAACACTCAAACCATGATTGATTTGAGACTTTTAAATTTCTCATAACGTTCAAAAATAGTGGAATACCCGCTTTTTCTACAATGTTGTTAATGTTTCATTTAAAACAATTACCAAATAACAATTTATTTAAATAGTTAAAAAGAACACGTTCTTAAATTATTTTTGTTTTTGTTTGGTTTCCTTTTTTTTTAAACAAATAAATATGGTTAAAGAATTCGAGGTTATTTTTCAAATTAAATTCTACTTTATTTATTTAAGGCTAATCCTACTATTGACCTTGTACATTGTATATCAAGATAACACATAAATTACGTCAAAAAGTACGTGAAAGAAAGTGATAACTAAAATAAGGATAAAACTCACCGTATCAACCTTTTGAGATACAAAGTTTCCTGGTTTACATTGTAGGAACTGGATTGCCAAGGCCACGTCATTTTTATACCTTTCCTATAGAGAATTAATGAGAGAAAATGTACATAAATTAAAAAATAAAAATCTATGCATTATTCTAATTTAATTAAAATGTTTTCAACGTACGTTATCTTCCGTTAGTTTTTTTATTGTATAATTAGCTTCGGCTAATTTATGCGACAACGTCGCCACGTCTTTTGTTAAGGTGCTTTTGTCCGTTTCTGATGTATCAACTAATTTTAGAAGTTTATCTTCTAGTCCTTGGTTTACTCTTTGAACTCTCCGATGCGCCTCGTATAATCTACAAAAAAAAACAGTTTTAATACCCATTTTTTTTCAGTTGTTCGTCAGAATTTTAAATTTTTACAAAAAGCAAGGTTATTGAATGAAATCATCTTAAAAAAACTTTTAAATTATGTAGGAATGTTTTAGAATGTTATCAATGGGACGTACTTTATAATGTTGCACTATCTCAATGACCTACTTTAAAAAAATGGGATTTATCAACATCAACAAGTAAGTAGTTCTCTAAAATCATTATTACTAACGGGGGATTAACTGTAATAATTTTTTTAAATTGAAAGTTATCGTTTTTGTTATAATTTCCTCAATAAATTCAACACAATTTATTTTTATAGTCTCAACATTTTTGAAGAAGTAAATTTGCTTGTAGCCCTAAATTTAATGTAAATGAAATTGTTTAAAATCTAAAAAGCTTTTTAAAAAATTATTTTCTAGTTAACGATGCAAAAAATATGTACTAACGCATTGTATTTTCAAACGATAAGAATTTATTACCATATATTAAGACACCTGACATTTTTATTTTACAATTATCATAAGATTTTTTTACTTGGTGATATAAGCATTCCTCTTTGCATACCAACCTCAATACATACACACAAAATTATTCTGCAATTATTTCTCCTTTTATTTCCTACAAAAAAATAGAAAATATTTACTTTCACTTCATTCACATCAACTTATAAACACAATGAACAATCGCTGTGTACAGAAACTAACAATACAGAAAAAAGAAAGTAAATTTGGCGAAAGGAAAATTTCGTGTTCTAGATTTTAATAAATTTTTATAGACACGAGGTGAAGGTTTAAATGCGCAAGTAATGATTTAATTTGTTGGTTACAAATTATTACACCCCTTCTAGAAAATCAGGTATTTTGCCGATTCAAAATAATAACTTTTGTTATTCAAAATATCTTCGTATACAAGCAGTTTTAGGCCGCGAAAACGCTATTTTCAAGTTAATCAATTTATCAAAGAAGAAGAAACTGCAGAATATTCTGCAAGTGCAAAACTATCCATAAAAAATAGTGACCATATTGTATGCAATAACGAGGATGCATATCGTTTGATAGAATTTTTACCGTGTTCAGTTTTTACCTCTACAGACCAACATCCAAATCATCATTTCTGTCCGCTAGAAGCTGAGGGTTGGTAGGACTGGAAAAAAGCTAAATCAACTGGATCAGATTATTTAGTGAAACATCCTATACCACTTCCAGATGTATTGGATACCAGATGTACAAAAACATGTATTGGAAATTTATCAAGATAACTTGCTTGTCAGATGTTTGAGTCACACTCAGAATTGGGCGATTAACCCCAAAGCAACTACATTCTGGCTTCTAAATAGTCGAAATTTCTGCTTTTGTTGCGGCTAGCTTGTTTAATGAAGGTCACAGTGCCATTTGATTTCATTAGTAAAGAACAGCTGGCAATGGAAAGTTCATTTTATGCAGAAACAAAAGGTTTATTGTATGGCCAATAAGTCATTAGAAAATTAAAAAAATCAGTTTTTACTATTCTAAACTTACTAAACGAATCATAGACTGTTCAAAGCGAAGCAGCTCGCGCCGTAACCTTCCCTAAGACGATTGCTATTTGCCGTCAATTTTAAAAAGTTTTGGAAATTGTCAATATATAGGTCTATTTTGGTTCAAGACTTCTGTAGTTCCGAACAGTTCTGAACCTCTCCGCGCATACGTCTAATATGCAATATGTATGTTCAGAAAGTTTCAGAACTGTTCGGAACTACAGAACTCTTGAACAAAATGTTTGAAATTAATTGCATCCTGATGAAAAAAATTAGAAAAAGATGTATCTCCCTTCTTAAAGTATAGTTGCCCAAAACAAGTTGAATCCATAGTATATATTAAGAACATTGAACTCAATTAAGAACATTTAATATTACATTTTTCAGTTTATAGCTAAAAATAGCTAAATCGATTAAAAATTAGATACTTTCGGAAAAATACTGGAAATAAACATACATATAGCAATCATATTGGGACATATTTGAACCATAACGTCTAAGTATCCAAAGAAATTAGATACACTATACATAGTGTTCATAGAATTTAATATCTGAGCCAAAAGTCAAGGCCCCTCACTTTAGAGATCTGGTTCTGGTGATAAAAGATGGTTCTGGTGTGTGTTCCAGAGACAGGACGTCGCGCCTTCATTTCTTTATGTAGGTAAGATAAAGGCGCGACGCACTGTCTGGAACGCACCATCTTTTCCGATTGTACAGAGCTTATTTCTATTTAATATATAATTAGCTTAAATCGCTCTAAAAAATTAGAGAGACGTAACTTTGAAAAACTGATAACGATATCCGATAAACGCAATTATTTGACATATTTCGGCCAAATCGGCGATGCAATTTACCCAGCCGTTTTCGACATAATGGCGTCTTACTAAACCGCGATTTTCCACGAAACTATATGGAATATCGAAAAAATAAAATATGCTCCTCATTAAGAACACATCAGGCTACCACCTGTTCAAAATGAAAATTTTTCATCACAATTTTTGAAAAAAAAAAAAAAAAAAAAAAACGCAAAGAGGACAAAGTTTCCGGTGCCGTAAAAAATGGAGTATTTTTCATTTAACTCGCGATAAAAGAAAACCGCGGGTCCGAAAATTTTCAAATTAACACATGTTATGTAAAAATGTTCAGTGATTACAACAAACTTTGCCGCAATTTTTTTTAACGAGCTGTTGCGAAGATATCCATCTCTAAAGTGAGGGGCCTTGACTTTTGGCACGGATTGTAGTAAATTTTGATGTTTTTCAAATGGCTTTTAGATAAGTTTTTTTTTAATGAAACATCCTGTATATTATGTGCTAGTTGAATTGCCCATCAAGGTCCTTTTAATTTATATTAAGTGTGCCACATGTCCAATTTTAGTAGTTTTCGTGATATTTACAATTTAAAGAAAAATGTGTAATAAACTATTGTATAAAACATTCTTTTCTTTCTCAAATGATTTAGTAACTATCGACCACCAGGACACTAATAACTCACCGTGTATATTATTATAGTATAAAACATGAGCAAACAGTAGTAAATGAACAAAATGTATGAAATTAATTTCATGTTAATGAAAAAAAATCTTGAGAACGCACTTATTTTTGTGCTTCTAAACGTATCTCCGCTTTAATCATGACTTTTTAAGAACGAATTAAATGAAAAAGTTGCGATATGCGTTGAAAGTGGGTAAATTGCCACTTCTAGTTGACGGATTTAGCGCAAAAGTTGATAGCGATCTACAATTTTAGTGTAATAGCCAATTTCGGTATCCTGGCTAATTGCGTTTTTGAGTTATCGTATTTACATACACACACACATACATTACATATTGTTACAAAAAGTTATAATGGATTCAAAATTATAGATCTTGATGTCCAATTTTTGCACAGAATGCAACAAAGGTTTTCAGACTAAAATATAATCTAACTTATTTCATAACACAGAACATGAAACTCAGGGTTTAATTCTCTTGGGCTATTAAATAATACAATTAGACATTACTACAATACAATACCCAATTATTTAGAGACATAAATCAATCAATCGTAATCATAACCAGTAAAAATTATAAAATTGTTTAATATTACATGAAATTGCTTAATACATTACAAAGGTTCTATGCTGAAATTGATAATTTTGTTAATATTGATGTGTCATTATATTTAACATTATGAAAAGCTATCCAATAAAAATGTTTCAAAAGATTGTAATTCATCAAATAACTTAGTTAATCGAAATTACTTTTGTTATGTCAATAAAAATATACAATAAATACAAAAAAGTATTCATACCGTTTATATTTATCCTGCCATGTTAATAATTCTTCTCTCATCGCAACCATTTCCCCATTAGGAAACTTATTGGCTTCATTCAAAAAATTTGTTTCCATGCTCAAAATATGATTATCCCTCTCAAGTAGTCTTTGCTTGAGATTTTCAATTTCAACGTGTAAATGAACATCATGATCATTCGATACGCATCTTGAACATTGACACCCGCACTCCTATAAACAATTAACAACAAAGTATTAAAAAAACCATCAACACAAAACCTTTTTAATTGTTTCGTTCTCTTTCGCTACATCGATACAATTATTTGTAATTTAATACGACGGAATCGCGTTACATCTTACCTGGCATTTACTGTTTGCCATCTCTTCACTTAAATAAAATAAAAACTAGATGACTGAGAACGCGATTAAAAATAATCATAAAATAAGAATGTTAAAAAAAATTTTTTTTTTCGATGAACGATCACTTTGGAAGCACTTTATTTAACGATTGGATCGAAACGAATGTAAATTAAAAGCGAAAAAAATTAATAACGTCACTATCCAGGAAATTAAGCACGTTAGAGAACGCGGATTTTCCCACACTGATACGAACACGTAAGTGTATCTCAGTGTTTTTTAGGAATGGTAATAATGACAGCTGCTGTCAAATGTCAAATACACGCTTAAAAGTTTTCCTTTTTTGCTACTAGGTGGCGCTTGAAATAAAAGTACCTATAGTTAATTTTTAAAGATGTTGATTTCACAAATTTAATTTAACAGAAAATTAATGTTGATTGTGTATAATACATATTAGAAATATGGATATTTAAATAGATTAATTAGATATAATATTAATAACTAGTGTTATTTAGTATAGATACACTGTATGCTTGGTTGCCTAAAACACATATATTTAACTGAAATGAATAAAAATTATATCTTACAAATAATTTTAATTAATTATTATTTATTTATTTATTATTAATTTATATTTCAATTATTTAACTACATTACATTATATATCATAAATTATATATCGGGTAGGCGGACCAACCAACCTTGCACCGCGACCTCAAAGATCTGTTGTATACCGATAGATAACATTATCAAATTGCATAGTACAGACCAATGCTTTTAACGAACATTAATACCTTGCTCGGTAAAAAGTTATTCAGATCCTTCCTCCCAACAAGTTGAGGTGTGTCTTTAATCGGCAGTGCCCAGTAAAGACACCCATTAGAACTTCAATGCTGCTACGAACTTAAGTTGTCTCACGTTTGGCCATCGCAAATGATATACCAATTGCTGGGTCTGGCCCCACAAACGCTTTAGCGCTGCATTCTCGTGCTAGCTTATTTGACGGTTAATTGCCAGCAACCCCAGAGTAATCTGGGACCCAGATCAAAGAAACTCTGTTATCACAACTCAGTGTGTCTAAAGTTCTTTTACAGACATTAACCAGAGCAGACACCGTTTTTACGGCCTGCAGCACCTGGAGAGCGGCTTGACTGAGAAAAATCGTGCTGTTATGTTCTTCACAAGAAGGATTCCAGCACCCATTTCAATAGCAAATACTTCCGCCTGGAAAACAGTACAGTACGTATCCAGGCTGTAAGCTTGCTTAATAAGAAGTGTTTGGCAATATACTCATGCCCCGACCCCTCCGGCGTTTTTAATCCATCTGTGAACATGCAAATATCTGCCTGATCCAGAGAATTTTCATTTTCGATCCAGGACTGCCGTTGAGGTAGGACCATAGGTCTAAACACAGTCACATAGAGTCAGTGTAGTCTTTCAGAGGTAAGACCCCAATTTTTGCCACTACGACTACGACAAATCCACAAGGATAATCTAGGTTTGTGTAAAAACTCCCTGCAAATATCCATTCCATGAGAGGGTTTTGACTTCCTTTGAGAAAGGTATTTCTTCACCTTGGATAGTCCAAACAGGTTCCTTTGACTATAACGACAATGTCATCAGCGTACAATTCTTCAATCAGAAGGGACCAAAGCACCCCTCCCAGCGGAATGCCAACCCCAGGCCTGAAGCGTATCATGTTACCGTGGAGTGAACTAGAAACTATTCTGCTATCAAGCTATTGCCGATATAACCCGCTATAGTTGATTCCACTCCCCTGTCAAGAGTAGCTCTTTCAAGAGATTGTGGTATTGCGTTGTTGAACGCACCTTCTATATCCAGAAACACAAAACCAAGATCTCTTTATCCTGAAGCGTCCTGGATACTCTACCAATCAAGTTGTGTAGAGCCAGTTCTGCTGACTTTCCCGCTTGATAAGCGTATTGATGACGACTCAGTGGACCAGATACCAGTGGCACCCTACAGATATACCGTTCCAGAACTTTTTCGAGGGTTTTTAACAGAAATGTTGAAACATATTTCCAGGTGACATCCGCTCTGAAAATTGTTACCAAAATAGGCAATAATAGCAACCTTCCTTGCTGTAACAAAGCAGGAAAGATATTGTCTTCTCCAGACGATTTGAACTGTTTAAACGACTTAATTGCCTGGTCCACGGATGTGTAAGTGACGACTTTTCTAGCCACACACCAATCCGTATTTAAGGGGCGCTTTGCTATGCAAGAATTGCTCTAACATTATTAGTCCCCATCATCAGGCCTCCTGGGAAGTGGGTCTGCATGAGAAGCCGTAACGAGGCTCTGCTAGAAACTGTCAGACGGCATTAGGGACATTATTTAACAATGTTGAACATTACAAATCATTTAATTAAATAATTAAGTATTAATGTTAAAAATAATAATTAAGGTTGAAGCGCAGAGTATGTTGGGTTGCCTAAAAATATTAACATTAATTTTGAAATTAAAATGTACAAAAATTAAAAAATCATTTTAAAAATGGTGTTAAAATTAATAAATACAACCTGTAATAAATGAGGAATAGATTAATTATGTTTAATCTTAATAAACGTCAAGACTCAATCAAAATATAATTTCCCACAAAACCTATACATTAACACCTTTACTTTGACTAATAAACATTAATAGTTTTTCTAAATGATTTCTTATAAACTAGTTTTATTTTATTTAATAATAAAATATAATAATTAATATAGTTCATAAGTATTAAAAATTAAAGTATGGTATATTGGGTTGCATATACACCACATAATACAATTTTTTTTTATACTTTGAGAACAACAAATAATCTAACAATAAATTAGTTTATTATAATTAATATAATTAGTTATATTTAAATAGATTAAATGGTGATTTTATTTATGATATTATATCATTTTCTTTAGTAAAGTATAATTGGTTGTCTATATTCTCGTCAAACCTGTTTTAAAAGAATTGTGTCGGTAAAGTTCGTAAATGCTCGTAATGTTACCGAAGTGAAAATTTAAAATACCGGCTGTAAGCAGCAACCAGCAGCCGGCTTCTAAAGCTCTCTTCAGTTTACCGCGTGTGTCCGTGTAGGGTTGTAGTAGTTAATGCCCAAGAGGGACGCTGACGAGTTTGAATGGATATTTACAAAATGCGTGCAAAGCGTGTGTGGGTTTAATATAAAACTATTCCCCTCCCATACAAGTGAACAGTAATTAACTCAATAAACATTTTTAATTTTTCTTTTAAAGTGTTTAAAGTGTTAATCTCGCAAAATAAACTTTCCAGTATGTGCGCGTTTTGGGAATTAGCGTTTGGATTGATAGGTAGGTACTTTATTTGTGTATTTGGATGAAGAAAAAACGTAGTATAAAAAGTTGTGTTTCCGGGGGGCAATTTACTGCAGTTCATCGAACGCGGTTTCGCACTCGGAAATAACATTCGCGCAAGCTTTTGTTGTATTCAATTTGGCCGGGAACGCGTGAACGAGTATCCAAAACGTTATTGATTCGATTGGTTTTCGACGGTGCATTTCCGCTTATTAAATTGGGTACACGTTTTGTATATCCGGAAGAATCTGGTTTAGTTATTGGCCATAATATGAAGATAATTTGGTTAAATTATCCAACTTCCAACAAAAAGTTTGATTCAACACAATTTTCGCAGTTTTGATGAATAAAATTTTGCACGTATATTATAAATTTAATGGAGTAATATTTATGAGAATGTAAAATAGGTGTATAATTATGTTCCTTTAGGAACACCTTTTGTAAAATAGCGGCGGATGTCCTGTAGATCGTAAAGATGTTGAACGGATCTATTAAAATTCAGAACTAGTCTTTATATACATGGCTTAATAATAAGTCGTGTTCCGCTTAAGAAAAGAGATTCAATCCTTTGATGTGGATTGGTACATGCTGTATACGAAACGAACTCATTATCATAAACCATGTCAACTTTTTGAGTAATGGTCATACGTTTTCTTCACGGTGTACACATAAATGCTTCTGGTTTGACATAAAAAAATCGATTTATACTTGTACTATCGAAGTTTATAAGTCTATTAAATCCGTTCTGTATTAGCTTAACATTTTCCTGCAACTCTTACTGGTTACTATTTGCTGAATATTATGCCACACCTAAATTTGAATCTAAACTAACACTTTCTCATCGATTCCTAGAAGAATTTTTGAATTTCAAAATGAAACGGTACTTATTAAATGATTGTATTTTGGAGACAATTAATTTTTAACGAGATTGAGAGAACAATGTTTATTCAGGTCAACAATACAAATTAAAATATTTACAACAAAACAAGAAATAGAAAAACGCTGTACGTTGGTCTAAAAGGGCTATCGACCATAGTCTTTCTGCCCAGTTTTCACAATTTTAATAATAAAAAGTAATAATATACAATTACATTATGTACACAAGTCCAAATGAAGTTATTGCTTTCCTTCAATCTGTAGTACTCCTTGGTTCTCAATGCATGAATGAAGTACTATCATCATAGCTGACAACCATTGTTATGTATTGTTTTAAGTCATTAATGTCAGTAAGTCTTGTAGTATACAGCATTTTTTGGCATTCCCAAACCGAATGTTTCATCCAAGTAATGCCGTATCTTTAATGAATAACACGGTGATTTTGTATAGAACAAAATTATGCACCGTAACTAAGTAAGACTTCTCTGTTGTAGACTGATCAGCACAGCATACATTTACTTTCGGAGAAGATCGAGTGTCCATTCTTAGTTAAACGGGATTTTCTGTATTCCACAAGACGAAATTTTGCTTATTCATATCGCCGTTGACGTGAAATGTGGGTTCATTCGTGTGTTTATGGTTGTTTTTTCGAATATCTCTCTCGTACTTAACTTTCCTGTTGAGTTGGGTTAGATTAGGTTGGGTTTTGTTTTCGAATACTTCTGGACTACTGGATACTTATAGATTCTCAGTTGGTAGTTGCACCTAAAAGTATCTAGAAAGCTTGTTTTCGGGCAAATGCTGATGAGAAAAAAAAAATAGACAAGCTAATCGCAAAAGCTATATTTGCAACTTTAGAGCTTTAGGTATCTAGACACTTTTCAAGTGCAGAAAACAATTCCTCTTCACAGAGAATAATTTCCACGAGTCTTTTGGAAGAAATTTATGAGGAAGAAAGAATGAAGTGTTTTGGCATCTCGTTTTTGTAATTCATACTATATACTAACCCATAGGTTTTGTGGACCTATATCTTAAACGTGATTTTCTGTATTCCAAATGACGAAATTTTGCTCATTCATACTGCTGATGACGTGAAATGTGGATCCATTCATATGTTTATGTTTGTCATTTTGAATAACACTCTCGTACTTGTCTTTTGTGGACTCGTAATCATTGTGCTTTGAACATTTAAGATACTATCTTGGGTTTCAATACTTCTGGAACGTCCACGTACAAATTTCTTATGCACTCATCCATGAAGTGTCTGAAGACGCACGACTAAACCTGAAACTTTCTAGTTCTAGGTCTAGTGTTGTACAGTCTTACAGAACTAAAACTAGAACTAACTTTCCTCGTATTAGAACGTTATATCGAGGTTTTACTGTATTAAAAACAATGGTAAGTGCTAATACATTTTGGAATTATAATAATGATATACATTAAACTTGATGATATACATTAAAGCGTGTTGTCTACTTATAACTGTTTTAATTTCCAAATAAACTTTGTTATTTTTAAATGATATCAAAACTTTTTACTTTAAGTTCTTAACTTTAAAATTTTTAACAATTTTATTGCAGTAAATATGACAGGCATAACTACATCATCTATCCTATAGATGGTTTACTTTATTACAGTTACAAGATAAATCTGGACAGATGTTTCTGTTCTTTTAAGGAACCTACAAGTTACAAATACGAACAGATTTAATCGATCATCTGGAAGAGATACCAAATCTAGTTTAGACAAAACAACTGTAACGGTTATTTAAACTTTTTAAACAACGATTAATCCGAGTATACTAACGGTTTGTGTTAGTCCGAACATTCCGTGGTTGAAGTAAAATGTACTACACGGGATGCGTCGTAAACGTTTTAGAATTGAAATCAAGACCGAAACGGTACTTGACTGTATCTCTAGGTGAAGTTACTTTTGTGGACATCTAGCGTTAAGGTATTTTACCTTTCCTTTCGCAGATTTAATATTAAAAATTGAGTTGAAAATGTTATTGTATGTAACGCATTTGAGTGAGATTTTTTTTAAAGTTGGTGCCGACGACAAATAATTCAATTCAATGTTAATAAGGGCCATTGTTAAATGTACCCCTAGTGATGTACTTGTCTGAACAAGATCGGAATGAGAATACTTGTCTGCTGGCGCAGGTTTATTGTAAGGGCACGAATACATTGGGGGACAGATGAAATCTTTCAACAACTTTACTTATAAACTCAAACAAACTTGATTCTTTATTGAAATTTAACAGTTAACATTTTTTGTATTTAATGTTCATAGTGTTATTTAAAATATTTTGATAAAATATAAGAACAAAACACCATGCTTTGTGAACTATTGATCCGAACATGTATATTGCCCTTTTCGTCAGTAAACCCTCGGGAACCCCCACGGAATGCAGTTCCACCATTTTCCGTCAAGTTATAAGTACTTTTGACGATAAAACAGGGGGAACCAACAGCATCGAAGTCGGTGTTGATGTTGATTCATTCAATTTAGTTCCAGCGGAAGCGGATTTTATATCCCGTAGCCAAAACTCCATTTACACCAAATCAATACGTTCCCCAAATGCGTGTGGTTGAGTTTATGTTTTCACCTTCCCACTAAACGTAATACAGTTTGCTTTAAACGGTTTCGCGATTTCTATATTACGAAGTGTTTGAAGGATAAGACATTTTTTTTAGTGTAATAGATAACGCCGCTTTGTGATCTTGTTGTAGTCGTCAGTTGAGAAGAATGCGTAAAGAGGTGCTTAACATTGTATCTTGGGTGAATAGAGTGCGGAGAGGTCCCTTTTCTCCGGGTTAATTATTACCTATTGAGGAGTTTTTCTACCTGTCTTTGAAAAGAATTTAAAGCTTGGCCATTGTTGTGTGGTATTCGTTCACTAAATGCTGGCTTCCAAACCGTTGCGTACAAATTTCTGTTAAGTATGCCTCAACATTTTTTATTAAAAAAATTATTCTCCTAGTGGATTCATCTTATAGTTTGGTGAAATGTTTAATTGCTTTTATGATGTTGTATTCTTGGGATTTCTTAGATGATTCTAAACCGGTTTAAAACTACAAGATCATCTCTTTTGACGCAATGTCGTTTTCCCGGGTTGATAATTCCATTTAAATTGCCCCCCGACTGGCAGCTGTGAGCTAACAAAGACTCGTCTCTTGGTGTGTTTCACGCGATGCAGGTGCTCATGAGGTTTAAATTAAACTTCGATTGCTTCTTAACCTTGCTAGAGGTTCATACGTCTTTATTCATATTTACAGGTTATTGAAATGAAGATACAATTTCGAAGAAAAAAAAGTATTTAGCATTTAAAATAAATAAGTTACAATAACATTGATTTTTGAACCTAATTCTTTAATTCTTTGTGTTCTGTACTTAGGTATACATTAATGCTTTTTTTTAACATGATCTTATAATTTCAATACTTTAGTACAAAAATTCTTCTTGAAGTTTATCTCGAAATTAAGCAGACCATTACATCTTGTAGAAAAATCGAATAAAAAAGTCATCTCCGTATTAGTGAATTATCACGCACATTGGACTTATGAAATATTTACCAGAGGACCGTTTTCATTGTTCTCCAAACTCCGGTGTGGCACGGATCGGTCCTCTTTTCCTCTCCTTTTCTATATAGACTCTTTCAACCTTTCCTTTCGCACGACGCGACGGAACGGAACCAGTCCCATCGTAATTTGGTTTTATCGCACCGAGGCGGCATGAATTATAGATCAATTATATTGCGGGAAAACCGATTCAACCGCGCCGTGAGAATGAGCTAACCCTATACTCTACTCTTAAGTCTTGGATCATTCCTCCACCGCACAACCGAGTATGCAAAGTGGATTTCGAAGGATTATGAATGGATGTGTCGCGCCGATTCTCCGGCTAAGAACTATTATAGGCACTCGGAAGTTGTAAAGTACTCTCCCAACTCTGGGGGTCTAAGTAGAATACGCCCACTTCCTTTACAAGTGAAAGGAGTTTTTAAAGTTCTAACAATGCAAAATTTGTTTCAAAACATAAAATTGATCAATACTTTATTTTTGACAAAAAAATGTTGTTTTAAGTAAATTTTGCACGCTATGTCGGCATGGTTGACTAAT